TTAGTGCCCCTGTGCTTAACAATATTTTAACCAAAAACATACATACCGAGCTATTTATGTGAAAAAAGTATAGTTAAAAAAAACTAAAAAACACGCTTTCATAACATATGAAACTAAAAAGTAAAAAATAAATATAGTTTAAAAAAACTAAAAAAACACGCTTCTAAAGCACATCGACTAAAAAGTTAAAAATAATTTTTAAAATAAGCTTAAAACTATAATTTACAAAAAATACTAGTATTATTGTGAAATAAAATAACCTTAAAACAATAATGAACGAATAATAATAGTATTATTGTGATATAAAATAAGCTTAAAACAATAATAAACGAAAAATACTAGTATTATTGTAAAAAAAGCGTGGGTGCTTTGTGCCATATTTTTCGTATATTGAGCGCCCGACGCTTTTATCACAATAATAACTTTTTAGTCGATGTGCTTTAGAAGCGTGTTTTTTTAGTTTTTTTAAACTATATTTATTAACACGCTTATATTAGTTTCACCTGTATGTATGTATGTATGTAACTCTCCAAACGCCACGCGTTATCGCATATTCCGTCGTCTAGACTAGACTGTCATAACGCATTCACCCCACCCCACGCCTCGCTCAACCCACACCGGCAATACTATTCCTGTATAAATTTATTTTTGGTTATCGTACCCGTACACGAGTGTTTGTCATCAATATTATATATATATAAACAAATTTTTATTTTGACTGACCAATACCATCCGCGTACCATACGGCTTATGTATATATTCCTACCGCCGTTTATACCTCAGGTATAGCGTTAGTCCGACCCGCCCGCCCACAAAACACGGCTATACCTAGTGCATGATACGTTTACGTACTTGAATCGCTTTACTTGTATATATATATATTCTAATTACTATTAAAAATATATAATAACACACTTTATTCTTATTTAGAGATATAGAACTCATTCATTCCGATTACAAAGGATGAATCCAGTATCGTCATTTTTCGTCACTACCTCCATGTTCCGGGAGTGGGTAATTTACGCGCCTGCTGCTTTCCTTGGATGTGGGAGCCGTTTCTCAGACTCCCTCCCCGGAATCGAACCCTGATTTCCCGTTACCCGTAAGAACCATGATATTGATAGTAACTATTATCATAACATGAAACTAAAAAGTGAAAAATAAATATAGTTTTTTTAAACTATATTTATGATACTGTAGTGTAATAATTATATTTTGTCTATAAATATGTTACTAAGGTAAAATACAGTAAATAAATTGGAACAAATGCATTTTACCACCCCATCGAGTTTTTTCAATTTTTTTAGCTTCGATGCGAAGCGGAGAAGGTATTAATTTTACTATGATGTGTTTTTTTTTTTTTTTTTTTTTGTCTGTTGCCACTTTTTCTCAGCTCTCACTGGACCGATTTCTTTCAAAAATACGTCAAAAGATCACAAATCGTATCTAGTTGAAGACATTACCCTTAAAAATTGAAAAAAATTCCCTCGTTCCCCGCAAATGGGGGAAATATCCAAAAAAATTACAAATTTAAATATTACTAATTTTCGAAATTTTTTCACTTTTTTTTCTTAAAACTTCCATAACTTTTTGTAAAATCAACAAATCAACATAATTTTTTTTTATACTAAAACCTTAGATATTTACCTTTCATTTGATATCATTTTTTTGAAAATCTATCACTTAACCTGCTCATTGGGGGGGATTTAAAATGGCAACTTTTTTACAAAAATTAATTTTTTCAACTTAATTTTTGAAAATGTTCCGGAAAGACTGCGTCCTTTAAACATATATCAAATTAAAAATTAAAGCTTAATATATGTTCTACAAAATGAAAATTTGTCCCGACACTTTTTTTTTTACATTTAAACGGCTGCCGTAGTTAAAAAAACACTATTTTTGTGTTAAAATTTTCGATTTTCGATTTTAAATTTTCAACTTAAAAATGCTATAACTTTTTGAAAAATGTATATATCAGCACAAATTTTTTTTTTCTAAATACATTATAAGTACATCTTTCATTTGACATACTTTTTATTAAAATTGGACAATTTCCCCTTATATAGGGGGCGTTCAAAACTTAAAATATTGTAAAAAACATAGATCTTTTTCAACTGAACTTTTGAAAATGTTCCGGAAATACTGCGTCCTTTAAACATATATCTAATCAAAGATTATGTTACGTACTATCAAATGAAAAAAAAAAATTTGTCCCGACATCTTATCTTCTATGTGGAAATGACTGTCGAAAATTTAAAAAAAATGTAATGTTTGCGATAAAAATTACATTTTATCGGGATGTTTTTTGTACTTAAAACTGCCATAACTTTTTCAAAAATGAACAAATAAAAATAATATTTTTTTGTATTGAAACCTTAGATATTTCCCTTTCATTTGATATAATTTTTTTTGAAAATCTAACACTTATTCTGTTCACTGGGAGGATTTAAAATAGTAACTTTTTTACAAAAAATAACTTTTTCAACTTAATTTTTGAAAATGTTCCGGAAATACTGCGTCCTTTAAACATATATAAAATTAAAGCTTATTTTATGTACTATAAAATGAAAAAAAAAATTTGTCCCGACGATGTATCTTCTATACGCAAATGGCTACCATATTGAAAAATATACTATTTTTGTATGATAATTATAGGTTTTGTATTTTATTTTAATAGAAGTTGATGTTGCTTTTGCAATTATCCATCAATTTTTTTAAATTAAACACTATCTACAGATTTGCATCGAAGCGTTTCATATGATAGTGATTTTAATCACTGTCAGATTAAATCTATACTGGACCCTACTATGCAATGTCTCCACTATGCCACGACCCCACTGTGCTACCGTTTTTTTTTTAAACGTGTGTTTTTCAATGTTTTTTTCAAAACTGTTTGAAAAAATTGTCGGAAACAATTGGTTCAAAAGTTATAGCTTTTTAAAGTTGAAACGTCAAGAACTAAAAATAGCTCAAAAATTGTTTTTTTTTTGTTAATTTTTGGGATTTTTTCTCATGATACTATTGTGAATCTATAATGACGTAATTATTACATAATATCCTCATTCTAAAAATCCTAAAACCAAAATTATCTTTAAAAATAAGGATTTTCCAAATTTTTTTTTCAAAACTACGCACATCAAATTTACGCAATACGAAATAAAAATAACAAGAAACTCAATTAATTCAATTTGAGCAAAAAAAAANCTACGCACATCAAAATTATGCAATACGAAATAAAAATGGGGTTTTCATAAAATTTTATATAAGTGATTAGGTAATAACAAGAAACTCAATTAATTCAAGTTGAGAAAAAAAAAAAAAAAAGACCACGATGTGGTGTTTTACTTAGAATTGTTAATTCAATAAAATAAAAGTTAATACTGTATATTATGTATATCAATTAACACTTGTTGAAAACAAAAAAAAATACTATTACATTAGATATTGGAATATCAGTATTCATCTTGATACCATTTAAAATAATTGCACCTTTGTGTGTTCGTGCGCGATTTTGCACAGCAGTAATACGGTCTGTCCTTATTACTTCCTGAACTAGTAATGAATAATGATGCTTGTATGACAATTACAGTTGTGATAATCTTCAGCCATGTATTTAAAGTATCGACAACGCGTTGGATCAGTATAATCTTTACGACACACGACAAATTGCGTGTTACTCGATTCTAAATAACTATTAGGTGTATCCCGAATATTTACACTTAAACCACAAAGACATTTGTACAAATTTTCATCATACATCCATCGGTTCATAGTGAGAAAAAATAACTTAAATAGAAAAAGAATTAAGCTGTAATCTATTGGTAAACAACTAAGATTAGACTATAGATTACATCGTTTATTTTTCAATGTTATAGAAACAGTGCATCATGATGTTTGTTACCAACTGTCAAATATAAAAACGTATTATCATAATTTAAATAATGCAAAAAATTTTATAAATAGTTAGAATTGAAACTGATACTGTATGTATAAAATGTATCAGCAATACCATTTCAGCAACAGTTTGAATTGAGCGGCGCGTCGTAAATTTTTTTATTTAAGGACCTACACACATATAAATATTTTTTTAGTGTAATTAAATAAATAAAATTCGATTACTAATCTTCGAGAATACTTTTTCTAATGAATTAATGCAAAAAAACAAAAAGAATAGAAGTATATAACAAAATTTGTCAATGATGGTTGAAAACTTTGAAAGCTCATAACTTTTAAACTGGACTTTGCCGACAAAAATTTTTTATATATTCTTAGTCAGTATCAAAACTGAATCATTTAAAAAAAAAAAATTGAAAAAACTCGATGGGGTGGTAAAATGCATTTAAGCCAATAAATTTATAATACAACTTAAATTATTATAATTAAAAATAACTACTAAAAATTATTATGATATAAATAAATATAGTTTAAAAAACTATATTTATATTCGGGCTCTCTATGTACAAAAAATATGACACAAAGCACCCACGTTTTTATCACAATAATACCAGTATTTTTCGTTCATTATTGTTTTAAGCTTATTTTAAAAATTATTTTTAACTTTTTATTTGATGTGCTTTAAAAGCGTGTTTTTTAGTTTTTTTGAAACTATATTTATTTTATTTATATTGAGGATACGAAATAAATTAATTATATGCATGAAAAAATACATTCTAAGTAATTTTCAACACGTGTTCACTGATTTGTATTTACTTCTAAATGTTTACGAATTATAACTAAATATTTGGAAAGTTAGCTAGTGTGGGATTGTTATTCTATGAATTCGTTATTTTACAGGAAAAGTGAACTCAAATAACCAAAATGTCGTTACGTGTGGAAGTATGATATAAATTTTAATCATATTTAAGGCTATACTAATTCACTGTTCCAAGTTTATTATATTATATAAGCAGATTATTAATAATTATTATGTACATAAAAGCAGTTACTCGAAGCCACTAAATATTAGTAAAAATGTATGATATAATAATAATTATAAATACTTCTTCTAGCTCATTTTTATTGAAGTTTGGCACCACATCTGAAAACGTAGGTATGGTAATTAAACAAATAAAACAAAGTAATATTCCAAAACAAAAATAGAAATCCATTTTTAATAAAGTTAATATATGAGTTAGTAAAACATGAAAAATAATTTTTATTATTAAATTAATTTAGCTTATATAGATCAATTAAATCTATTTAAATAAATTTAAAATAGGGTAAAATAAATTAAACAATTATTTTGTTTACTTAAATTGTATGTTTATAAAAATTATTCATATATTATCGCAGTAAAATATTATTTATTCATTTTCAAATAAAATAAAATATAGTATAAAAATATCAATTGTATTAAAATAAATAAATACAGATAATAATTTAAGATTTAACCATGTCTACAGGGTGATTGAAATCTGGTAAGACACCCATTTTCTCAGAAAATATTGAGAATTTTAAATTTTATTATAGAGAAAAAATATCAAGTTAAAAAAACTCTACAATAATATGTGGTCAAACCATTATTTTTTTCGTCCCTTCAAGGATAAAATCCCTTATTTATAATTTTCTTAAATAGGAACCCTTATTTTTAACTTTATAATATGATAGAAAAAAAAATTACAAACAATTTTAATTCTAAACTCTAGACAGCCAACCAGCCAANAATTCTAAACTCTAGACAGCCAACCAGCCAAGATTCCCAGTGTTGTGAACTGGCTTTTTGCTGCCTAATTTTAATTGTGTAATTTAATAGTATATATATATATTAATCATGGGAACGGAAGCCTCTTTTGTCTTGTATATAAAGTATTTACCAGGCAAGCATCTAGTCCTTCTAGAACATTCGATGCTTGCTCAGCCCTTTTCAATGTATTGGGCCTACAGCCGCCGCCGCCTGAGGCGTTGCGCCAATAGTGGTCAGCTACTCGTTCAAGAGTCATATAGTTCATAGGGTCGAACCTGGACGACTCTCCACTGAATCACTTTCACTGAATCTTTTGTTAATTTGCTCACTGAATCTTTTATGTTAACTTGTTCACTGAATCTTTTATATTAATTAAGTATCAACTCATTAAAGTCGAGAAGTCAATTATAAGTGTAAATGTATTTTTAAATATAATAAATAGCAACTAATTATCAAACGAATTATCTTTTCATTTTGTCTACCGTACCAACCAGGTCACAACACCAGCCTAGTGTCACCAATGGGTGATTTCTTAATTCAAAATATTCATGCTACTATTAAAAAATCATATATACTTATTGTGCTATGTTGTACAGATTGTGTATTTCAAATTGTAAATAAAATAAACAATTTTATTCTTATAATTTTTTTTATCCGATTAACAGTTCGTTTGTTACAGCTTGTTAAAATTAAGTGATATTAGGGCAATTTTCTATTGTCATTTTACTGTATTTAATACAGAAATCATTATTTTTATTTACAGTTGCATAAACCAATTTATTGATTAAATTTTATTGGTCCAGTTATGACAGGTAAATTAGCTATACAAATTTACTACGCACTAAATGAGTGATAACAATAATAGATTCAAATCGGATTTTCGGTGTATCTTTAATAGCTAAATCTATAGTTTGGTAAGACTAAAGGATCTAACAAAATTACCGGTTGCACTACCACCGATATTATGAAACGTAATAAATGCCAATATTTTTTCTGGTAGTCAAAATCTTTAAACAATTATAAAACGTAAACGGTTGTTCGGATAAAAAAATTATAAGAACAAAATTGTTTGTAATTTTTTTTCTATCAAATATTATCAAATCAAAAATAGTGGTTCCCATTTAAAAAAAATATAAATAAACATTTTTATTCCTGAAGGGATAAAAAAAAATTCATTTAACTTCATATTATTGTAGTTTTATAAACTTAATAATTTTTCTTTTTACAAAAATTTTAAACTCTCAATAGTTTCTGAGAAAATAAGTGTCTTATCAGATTTCGATCACTCTGTATTTCACTATTTATAATGTATAATGTAGCACTGTAATATTTTTCTATAACAAACAGTATAGTTTTATACATCAGTATAATATAAATATAGTAACCAATTAATAATTAAAATATTTAAAATTTTAAAAGGTTTAATAATATAATGTAATAAGTACACGAATGACATTTAGCCCTGAGGTCATCAAATAACATCACTGTTCGCACTATCTTTGGTTTCAAAAACATTAATAAAAAAAATAATACAGAATATCAAATAAAAGAAAGTAAATTTAAATTTGGGTAATTTACGGTTAATCCATGCCAAATCATCCACCTTACTTTTTTATTAAATTTTCTGGGTTTATTCTTTATGCTATAATTAGATTAAAGAAATTATTTTTATGACCTTCCCATTTTTATTGCTATTTCAATAAATAAAAAAACCCAGCACAGGGGGGTCGCGACACAGTGGTGACGTGGTATAGATGGATCAAGTATAATGATATCTGACAGTGATTAAAATCACTATAAAAAAAAAAATGCATCTTTAGATAGTGTTTAATTTTAAAAAATTGGTGGATTATTCCAAAAGCTAAATAATCTGCTAGTTCCTTATTAATATCCTGATTANAAGCTAAATAATCTGCTAGTTCCTTATTAATATCCTGATTAATATACCAAATGATAGGTAAAGACATCATGCATCTATAAAAAAAAATTTATATTGATCCATACATCTTTCAAAAAGTTATAACATTATAAAGTTAAAAATATAAAAAAGAACTTTTTTACAAAAATCGTATTTTTTTTATAAACTTTGATGTCTGTTTTCACCATGAAGATAAAATAAAGTCCGAAATTTTTTTTTTGCATAATAAATTATATTACATTAGCATTAATTTAAGATATATATAAAAGTGTCAGACCTTCCGGAAACCTCCAAAAAAATTACAAATTTAAAAATCGCTAATTTTCGAAATTTTTTCAATTTTTTTTACTTAAAAGTGCCATAACTTTTTCAAAAATGAACATATCAATATAATTTTTTTTTACATAGATGTGTAATATCATAACCTTTTGTTTGGTATATTTTTTTCATAAATTTAATCCTTAACCTGCCCACAAGGGGGGATTTAAAACGACAACTTTTTCAACTTAAATTTTGAAAGTGTTCCGGAAGGTCTGACACTTTTATATATATCTTAAATTAAAGCTAATGTAATAT